ATCACCGCCAGTAAGTGCTCTTCCACATGCATATATGAAAAGCTGAGACCATCAGACCGTGGGCGGATTCGGTCGGAGCGAGGTATGGATTTGATTCATTCACCTCGCCGCTCGCCGTGCCCGAACCACAGGCGTATGTCCGCGGTGTTTGACTGCAGCTGACACCGGGATTCGTTCGACCTCCTTGCTCCACGGATCTTTCCGCAGCGGTCGAATATCGAAAAGCGGAGTAAATAGTGACGTTCGGATATACCTACCTACCTAAGCACCGGTAATTCCAGCAACGGAGCGTGACTCCTACCGGAGCGTTTTCGGACGGAGAAACTTCCGACGGGATAGTTCACATATTTCCCGCATTCTTCATGACACCACGGCGGAGAGTAGTCACATTAGGGGGTTCGAAGATCATTTCGAGCTCCACGGTTTATGGGACGTCGTTGATATCCTTTTCGGAATTCGAATGCCGACGTCTGGTGGGTTAGATGCGGGAGGAACTTAGGTACATACGTATCTAGTGGCTGCGAGCTCGATTTGACCGACAAGCATAATCGATAGTGCACAGACTTTCACGGCCACCGAGCCGAGCGTTCGGACCGTTCGACCGGGACAGTGAGCGAGCTTATGAGCTGGCGGCTAAGGCAGTCGAGCAATCAGGCTGCTCAGCGAGCTGCATCATGATGCTCAGTAAACAGCAGTCGTATGCGGGTCACGAATGCTCCTCACTGGTCTTCCCTCAGACAGAGCTTCACTTCAGAAAAGTATTCTAGATGCAAGGAAATGATCTCGCATGCTGAGCAGACCCATATGAGGAGATATTCACTCTAATCGGACTCTGTTCGCTTTCCGCCCAAGAAGACGGACTCTCAAGTTCGCTTCCTCTCTCGCCCGGTTTCTTCCAGGGAGAGCTCCGTTGCCGGGAATGACTCCCCTAGAGAAGCACATTTACCCTTAGAACATTGGGAAGGGCCGAGTCCTAAGTCAACGATGAGAGTTCCCTGTTGCAAATCGCGGCGAATTTTTTGTGGAACTTCGCAATGCGGAGCCGATCAGGGTCATTCATTCGTGTTTACGTTTCGCGCATTCGGCTAACCGCTTCCGAGGTTCCAAGGCTCGAAAATCGTCGCCGGGATGATACTTCCCTCCCCGTCGAAAACGTTTTCACCTGGACGCATGCGCTGTAGGGACTAGGGGAAAGGAAGCAGTGCCGAAGATGCCTGCGTTCCGCACCGAGCTGCGAAAATAGAGCGGAGGACATCGAATCCGATGAACGAGTTTTGCAGTATTCAGAAGGTGTCGGCGGCAGGATCTGAGCATCGCCAAAAGAATTGTTAGGTTCCTGTGCTTTCATGTCATCTTCCGCTGTTGTGGTCCTGGGAAGGCTGAACGACCGGAGTACCTTGCCGTGGAAGGTAAATAGCCGAAGAACGACAACGATTAGCCCCTGTGGCTAGTTGCTTCGAAATCGCGTCAATGTTGCTTTTGGTTCCCCCAATGTATGGTGCCAGGAGAGATTTGCGTCTCTGCTTTAGCTTGAGACATAGGGTACACAGGAGGGGTGCCCGAAATCAATGATAAACATACATATGCACTGTCGGCGACTTCCGCTGGTTAGTCCTTTTCTTGCTTCGAATTCGCCGTCTACCGGAGGCGCCCAGAATATGTTCTCCGACGCAATTCCCAATGGGGAACGTGAACAAGATGAATCCCGCCTTGAAGATGACCTTGATGGGCCTCTTCTGCTTGTCTACGACTCTGTTGTTTCCCTAATGGAGCATTAAAATGACAGCGTAGCCGGCGCCACTATCACACAGGCTCCGGAGTCCCATCATGGGTTTGATTAGGAGGCGGGGGTTCCTCCACGAAGAAGGGAGATAGCGATTCTCAGACCACGGAGGAAGTTCCCGGTGTCTCTCTTGGAGGGTCACCCTTCCAAGATCCGATTCGAAACGAGATCTTCCGACGCAGAGTGGAACACTCGGAATGATATGTCCGTGGGTTATATCAGATTCTAATGGGATGGGAGCTGTGTTCATTAACACGAGAAGAGGGAATCCAGAATATCATCACCGCAAACGCGATGATCGGCGCGTATCATGAACTCTCGTGATGGACAAAGCTTTTGGTTATTAGGGAAGTTCTGCTCGACGTGTTTTGTAGAGATCAGCCGGGCGCTATGTTGGCTACACGCTTGGCCGCCCACGGTTGAAGTCTGCTTTGGTGTCCGATTGAGGGTATTGTACAGATCAAATGGATGAGTCCACACTTCCATTCTGTTGTAGGCGCCCTTGTATCGCTATCGGAGCGTCGAGGAACGTAGATGTCGACCGGGCAGGCAAGCCTCCGAGCAAGCAAGCAACGAAGTAATATGATATGAGACCACATCTTGGAAAGCTAGGAGGTATTTCACTGCTACAGCTCTGTCAGAAGTGCCTTCCGTATCCGACAGCTGTGTGTTTCGTGACTTGCTTCTCCGATGCTTCGAGCGTCGCATGGGTGCCGTTATCCGCACCGCGCTCCTGCCGATGAGGTCGAATATGAGCATTGTGACAGAGCTGTCTCGTATACCCGATCCGGCAGAATCTGGCGGAGGGGCAGGGGGACCTGCCGATAGGCAGAAAGTTTCCGATCGTATCTGCGCCGGAGGAGTATAGTGCTGTCGTCAACGCGAAGAGAGGTCATTCTTTTCTCGGAAAGTTTCCCCCAGAAAACGGGCCCTCTCTCAACGGGGGAGAATGTACGCGGGCTTCCCTATACATGAGTACTCCGGTGAAGTGAGTTTTCTTCAAGCTTGGAGTCATAAATGGAATTCTGAGCTCTTCACAGATACCGCAGCTGAATCAACCCATGTACATCCGTGGGGAAGAGCTCGGGGATGCCCTCCTGGGGAATTGGGTTCGCGGTCTGAGTAGCCCGGCTCTGATCATCAGAGCCCTCCCTGATGAGCGGTTCTCTCCCCAAAGCTCGGAGAACAGATAAGAATACTACGATATGAGAAAGAGGAAATACTGTATGGCGAGTCATTAATATCGAGCGCGATCTCCGAGACGGTAATTTCATGACGACGACTAACTAAGTCAAATTTCTTAACTCCGTATTCCGAGCACATCTTTTGCGATCAGCCTCGAAGTGCTTCGAGCCTATCGAAGGCTCTAACCATCGATTCGAAGCAAACTCCGACTGCTGTGGCCCCTCCTTCGCCAGCTGAAACGAGAGCAGGAACGCTTGAATCCTATGCTGAAAATCACTTGATGCGAACTATTAGCGGGGCTTCGGCTATTGCGTTTTGTGGCAGGCGGCCAGAATGCGGTCGAAATGAGATCGCCATTAAAGTCAAAGAACATACCCGTTTTTCGGGGTCTACGTCTCTCCCGGCTACGAGGAAGGGTAGGGGCCGAGAGGTAGATGCCACAGCTGGAAGTCTATCGTCGGCTCAACGGGACAGCCACTCTCTGAAACAAAACTTCCAAGCCACTCCTGAAGCGATAAGCGAGCGGTCGATTGTACAACTGTGACTCGGGACTCCATCGATCGCCAGATGAGCGGCCTCGGGCAGAAAAATCTATCATCCGTTCCTCTCGCATGAGGATCCTATGGCTGTGAAGACACAGACAAGCATTTCTTAACGAGCTCCATTTAGAAGACCGTCGAAATCGTGACAGGTGCTCGGCTTGGACCCTCGAGATCTGGAGCCGTCTCGTACTTCCACGCTGGCGCTGATCGTTCTTTACGCTGAACTCGCCGAGTCGGACATGCTCCCGTCGAACACGCGCCATACAGCGTGGAGGGTCCACGCGCGGGAGGATGAGAGGAAGAGCTCAATCTTTTGAAGAATCGGATCCCTTGTCGGGAGCAAGTTCAGGATTCGAGCTTGGAACAATCAATCTCCGGCCCCGGGCATCAACGAGTAGCGAGAGTGAGGTCGAACTTCACCGCTAGTGTGTCGGCCGGATGAGACTTTCCGCAATGCAGGCGAGGAGCGTCCTGATTCAGATCCTCAGATCACAGTTAGATGAATGAAGGTAGCGGTTACTGAGTGACCCCTCAAACGCGCAGCTGACGCATTCCGTGTACTCCCCGAGATTCCGACACAGATTCCTTCACACAATTTTCTGCTCTACTCAACAATGTTCATGCTCTTTGCTTGACCAAGTAGCGGCATCGGCCTGCGAGCGCCAGACGCGACTCGTGAAGAAGCTTGTTAATGCCAAGTGCTCCGATTCCGGTATCGGGCTACATATCTACCCGGGGAATCGATTCTCCACTCCCAATAACTCATGATTTCCTATTCCAGCAACATGGGCTGTCTCGATAATTGGCGAGTGATCTCGGCGAGAACCGCCTGCAAGCGTGACCACGGAGTCTGTGATCTACCATGTCCGACATGAATACCGAAGATTCTTCATCGGGATCGGCTAACTTCCGTCGAGGATGAGCCACCAGATACTTAGAGTGAGTATGCAGCGATTGAGCTTCGTCCATTTTCATTATGAACCAATGAAGCGCCCTGGAAGCTACGTCTACGGATCGATCGAACAAGAGCAGAGCTTGGTGGAGGCTCGTACCCAAGAGTTCTGGCGATCCAATCCTTATCCGATCGCGGCAATCCGATGCGCTCCCTTGATACGGCCGCTCGAGTCGGGCGAAGGAAGGAATAATCATAGAATAATTCTTCTCCACGATCCACGTCGAGAAAACGGTATATCGCCCTACATTGACACCAAGGGTCGCGGATATAATATGAGATCAGCAGATTCCACCATCATATCGCGATGCGTCATATGGCGTCGTCCCTCTGAATTTCTGCTAGCGCTACTTGTTATTTGTAATCTTGTTGATATTGGTATGATAGCTCCAATGTTATGTCAGTGGCTCATAATACTAATCGTAACTAACTTAGAACACTCTGATCTTGCGCTCTCACAGCGCACCATCATCCTCATCTGAAGATTTTCCTTGCTTATTGAGTTGATTCACGGTCTTTGCAGTCGATCCGGCGATGGAACGTCACCCTTGTGGTCTTGGCATGTTTCGTCCTATTCTCCGTCCTGCATCTACAGCCGTACGCGAGCTATTTAGCCAAGCCTATATGGTACCCGCGAATGTGAGTACAAGCCTGATGAAGCCATGAAGCCTGTCGGGGTACATCGGGATGAGCAGTCGCCAAATTTTCGCAACGAGTCAGTTCGTCTCACATGTCCCCATCCTCTTAGCAGTCGAGGGTGCCCTTCCACAATAATCATCGTCGTTTTCCAGATTGGACAATATGAACAATAGGACCAGCCGTATTTGCGAGCAATGCTGCCGACCTGTGAACAACATCTTCTTGCTTAAGACCCATAAATGTGCTAGTTCAACGATACAAAACATAATTATGCGATACGGAGATAGGAGGAATTTATCTTTCGTTCTGCCGAGGGAAGGAAATTATTTAGGACATCCGAAACCGTTCTCGAAATTCATGTTGCCGTTGGATCAGGTGCCGTCCTACGGATTCAATATTCTTGCCCATCATACGCGGTACGATCTCGCGGCGATCAAAGAGGTGATGCCTCCAGACACTGCATTTCTCACAATTTTGAGGGATCCGGCGGATTTGTTTGACTCGATGTATGCCTATTTCGGTCTGTACAATTACACCGGCGCGAGCCTAACGCAATTCGCGAATGACGGCGATCGTCAAAGCTTCCTGAGAATGAACCGCTTCGAAGATCGCTTCGGACCGAACCAGATGATGTTCGATCTGGGCTACGACGTTGAGAGACTCAACGAAACTTCGATACAAGAAGCGATTGAGAAAATCGAACGCGAATTCGATCTAGTTCTCATTACGGAGTACTTCAACGAGTCCCTGATTCTGCTCAAAAACATCTTCTGTTGGGATACCCAGGACATAATGTATTTTAAACATAATAAGCGAAAGCAAGAAGGATCGATCTCTCGAGAGGTCCGAGAAAGCCTCCGGCGTTATAATGCGGCCGACATGAAATTGTATCGACATTTTAAATCGAAGATGGAGGCACTCATCGATGCTTTCGGCAGGAAGAGAATGGAGGAAGAGGTCAATAACCTTCAACTTTGGACGAAACTAATTTATCAACATTGTGTCGAGAATCTCGGCGAATCGACTCTGAAGGAAACGAAAGCGTACTCGAAAGACGTTCTCAGCATCGTCCTCAAGTCAGGAGTGCAAGGAAACGGACAGAATCGCATGTGTTACGATATGGCGCGCGCAGAGCTTCCCTATACCGAGAGGCTCCGCGAAAAGCAGAGGCTATTTGCCAAGTCCGCTCAACTTCTGTGATACAACTTTGACATCGTTCGGGTATGTCCCGAATATCGATCAATTGATTGGGTAATCCACGAACTGCTGGTATCCGTCTGCCAAAGGATTGCGTAAGGTCACTCGAGTCCTCCCACCATGTGAGGGCGAGAGAGGAAGCGAGAGATCCTCTCGATCCGAGTCATTTATCTCATGCATGCAGACATTTTAATGAAAGTCCCGTCGCGTCGTCTCGGAGTGTAGCTCGGCCGGCGATGAGCCTACAAGAGCAAACAAAAGCACTTTGGATCTCTACCACGCTGTGGATTGTGATCGGCTGGGTTCTTATTGTTATCCGAAATCACATTGGAGTCCGTCTGGATACGGATCGGATATCGAGCTATCGGCATGAAGTCTAGGTATTTCGGAGGGGCCCTCTCAACTGCGAGAGTGTATCCGGAATTCTCGGGACAGGCAGACAACCAGAGAGTGCCTCCGCCCCGAGCATAATTACTCTGTGCAAATGTTAGCGGGTAACACCAAGGAAATGACTCCGAACTCCGGTGGGGGACCTCAAGATGAGAAGACCTTCCACTGGGATTGTCTCCTTCTTATTTGACTTTCGCTCGAGTTGTACTACTCTGGACTGGTTTTGCTCGGGTAGGACGGTATCCCCGGAGCGTCGAGAGGGACCCCAAAGAGAGTGCTTAGGTCTCTATCAACTTCTAGTTACTCTACAACAATTTACTCAAGAGCTTGTCAAGAAAAGACGCACTGTGTCTCACAACAAGAATACTCGATTAGCATCAATAACTTTTTCGGAAGTAGCGACCTTTGTTTCGTCTCAACTCCTTGTTTGTATTTTCCGTTCTTTGTTGAATAGTTTTCTATTTGTTTTCGTCCGACGCTCTTCCCCGAAGAGCTAGGGAAGCGCCGCGAAATAAAGCGACACTGGTGCCGTGGCAGTTTATCGATCGAGGTGACGCGGTACACTAGCTCGCGTTCTCGAATACCATTTCGGAGGTCGGAGTACGATAGCTGCGGGGGCTTTTACGAATACCGGCGTTCCCTGGGGAGCGAGAACCCCCACACGACATCGCATCAATTGAATCGTATTCCCAGACGACGTGCTTGCTTTTTTTTGCAAGGGTGTCACCAAGGGCGATCTCGTGCTGCCATCACTCCATAGTGCCCGTCGGGCCCCTCGCCGAAACTTCGAAAGTCATCCAGACCTCAGGGTTTCACATGTCCGAGCGTCAGCGTCGTGCGCATGGTGTGCCATATCGTCGTTTACCCTTTACACGGCTCGTGCAAACATCCAGATCCATCCACTGTCAGACATACTGGGGATAGTGTGATTGTAGCTGCCGGAGGTGAATATTTTCTTAGACCAAATCCCGAATAGTCGGCGTGTAGGCTGGGTGGACGGACCGTCTCCCGAGCCCGGTTCAAGCGAGTTTAGCTTAGTCTTCCGAGGAAAAATGTGGAATGAGATCCGATCGAGAGCACCGATCTTTGTGTCTGATGTGAGCTTCCCTTTAGGCTATAGATTCATACCCCTGCTGTGGAGCCGTCGTTCCACTTCGCAAAGATGGAGGTAGTGGGAGGCGTGTATGGGAAAGTCGGTCAGTCTCGGCGAAGAATATTTTATCTTCACAATGATGCCTAATAAATTATCTCGTGGAGTATGTTGAGAACCAGATACCCAGAGAATTATCATTTCGCGGATCGCTGCGAGCGACGGACATTCGATCAATCCTGGTCTCCAGAATGCTTATACCGTATATGAAACGGGCAGGTTCTGCTGCTTAAGTCCCTTGACGTGACGGAGGAGAGGACATACTCATGTTGATAAGGAATTTGTGGAGGCAAGGCTTCGGTGAGGAATTAGAGATTTATTCGATTTTTTGGTGGGAAGCCCGGTCTAATGGCAGCTGTTAGATGGGCAGTATCATCCCATTAGACGGGCGGCGGCTTGGAAGCCGGAGCTGCGTCCATCCCCTTCTCGCAGAGCACGAAGAACTTTTCGCGAGGGTGCTGTCACGCATGACCATCCATTCATAGCTCGTCACGTCTCGCGCGATTGACCATTTTCAGGACTGACAGCAGCGCGTCCGCGATATCCTTGTTGTCCGCGAGGAAACTGGAATTGAATCAGCAAGTTATAATTTGGAAGCTAATCAAGGCTCGACGGAAGAGAATCTCTCTCACAGAGAGGGACTGCAAGTTTTCATATTATGATATCAGAGCTTCCTCTACGCGAAATGAGCCCGGGCAGGCGGGGTCACATGTGGATCCTGAGCGTCAATGATTCGTTGACTCACTGGATGACGTGTTCGGATAGACATCTATCTTCCTTGCCGCTGGCGTCTTTCTGAGCCCTCAGCTCTCTGTAGAAAGTCACGACTGTCTCGAAGTTCGACGACAAGTCCGTTAGGAACAATTGGACCGTATACCCACTCTTGGCTCCTTTGCTTACTGCGTGACAATCTCTAGTATACTGTGGCAGCGTGTCTGAAATTACGAAAAGCATCGTCCATTGAGATGACGAAGCAGGAGGAAGCTCCTCGGGCGTGCGTATGCGGCACCGGCATGAAGTACAATAATGCAGACATGTCAGGGCTCACATCAGTTCACGACTGTGCAAGCAGGACGGGACTATGCCCTCTCACCGATCGAAGCTCAATTCTTACAGACGGATCACTCACCGAAAAAGGTATTCATGACTGGGATCGCGTGTTTGCCGAGGGAATATTCTTCAAGCTTGAACATCGCCAGCGTTCGGAACAGTGTGAGATACTCGTGCATATCTTTCACGATCGACGCGGCATTCGCCCGAAACTGTCGTGGGCAAAAATCATCGTCCGCTGAGACCGAACCTTCAATGAAGTTCCAGAGGTTGGACTTACGTTAGACTGAGTGACGGCATTCGATTTGTCGCAGACGGGACACGAATACCCGTCAAAATGGTCACACTTATTCGAGCCAGTTTGCACTTTCGGCTTCTTATGAATTTCGGCGACGAGGATCAGCTCCCGTTTCCGAATCAGAAGAAAACCGATGTGGATGACTGAGAGCCGGAAATAAATCTAGAACCTACCTGATAGCACGATAAGGAAAATCAAAACTCCACAAAAGGCTTTCATTGCGATCACTTGGCGATGCTTGCTGGATGTGGGCTGCCGAATGGAAAAAGCTGCCGAAATTGCACGTCCTGAGTCAGCCCCTTCTCTAGATCCACGTCAGCAAATCACATCTATTTCCTCCTGCCAGATGGAAAAGCCACTAGCTGATGCTGTTGCTGCTGCTCCCACTTCTCATCTGTCCTGAGAGTGTCACTTCCGAGCTCGACAGCTGTTTTACGGACACGTCGTCCGGAGAGCTCGTGTCGCTGTCACTCTGCAATGTTGGAGCGGAGCGCTCATTAGGCTGGCCACGAAATTAGCGATCCCAACTTCCGATAGTCTCCATCGATCAGCGAGCCATATCTCGAACGGAAAAGGGGGGCTCTGGCACCCGCACAACTTCGCCCTGTCGTCTCATGTTGAATTGGGGGAATGTTCCGCCCGACAGAGGTCATGTTCCAGGACTCGTGGACAAGCCCCAATCAGATACCGGGGCTCGGAGCGACCCCACAATCTGCGAGTGAAGGAGCTCGAGCTCATCCGGAAAAACTCGAGGAAGGAATGCTGTTTTCGGATGGTGATTTGAGAAGGTCGCTTTCGTTGCCGAGGTAAGAGATAATCCCTGAGCAGGCAAGCAAGCTCTGCTCCCTCCCAACCGAGATCCAAAGGCACACGGAAGCCCGGCTCATGTCGCGGGGATCACGACTCCTGCTGCTGAGTCTTGATCGACTTCGCGGCTCTCCGTATGACTTGGAGGCATCTCAGACGATCGTCTGAAGCCCGAACCGTTCGCGAAAAGACACGGATCACTATGCCTACTCGCGCTCGGAATCGCGTTCCGATTTCTCGACAGTCGATTCTCAGTCAGCAGATCATTGGATGATCACGAAGAAATGACCAAACAATCTCCATTGGGTCCCCAATCCCCTTTTTTTAGCCGTCCGCCGAGCGGACAGACTTTTGTCACCGAGGTCCGAGTCGAAGAATGACCCGAATCACTCGGTCCACCTGCATGCACCGTAGGCAGTAAATACCGCCAGTGGCGGGGTTTCGAATCCTGGCGCCTCTTCACCAAGTTGCTTCTGCCGCCGAGCAACACATGCCGCCGGCTCGGAAAGCACAGCAGAGCAAGGTTGAGATTTTGAGAAAATTTCCGGAAAGATATCTCTCGCGGCTCTGCCTAGAAAATGTCAGGACGAGACGGAGGCAAGAAAAAGCCGCTCAAAGCGCCGAAGAAGGACGAGAAGTTCTTGGACGAGTCCGATCTCGAGTTCAAAAAGAAGTGAGTTTTCTGTTTTGCGAATTTTCTCGTTGGCTTGGTTGAGTCAAGGATTTATCTCCGGGTCCACTCCTTCCCGGGTGGGTTTCGAGGGAGAGAAAAATGGATCAGGAAATCTACCGAGGCTCTTGAGAAGCACAGGACAGAAAAATTCTGGAGTCCACGAAGGGTCGACGACGTCCGCTCCTAAAGATCCTAGTCGATTTCGGTTCCACATGTCTCAACTAACCTTTCTTCACGTCTCGATCGCACTATAAGTATCGGTAACAGTGGGAAAAGTCCCATCCATATTCGGTTGACACGTCTGCTCAAGAACTGCGTATGGTTCGCGTCCTTCTCAGTGTGCGCCACTTGTGAGGAGCACGATAGAACTGCTTGACCGAAGATCTGGGTTACCGCTAGAGAGCGAGACGTCGAGCTGAACCGAACAATCTGCAGAAACTAGCGTCTGCTCTTCATGAAGCCTTTCGGCTTCGGACATCGCGTGTTCCTCAGGTGTCTTCACGGGAACGATGGCAGTATGACTGACATTCTGCTTGAGTTTCTGCCCTGATCAGGACCGTGTTAGTTCTACGATATAGCGACCGACTCGTGACCGTCGGACGTGGAGCCGGGACTGGCGTGGCTTCTGTGGAGGCCACCCGTCACCCAGTCCAACAGGTGGGGTGGCCGTGCTGCGGAGGCTTGACGATGTCGCGCGTATTTTTCTCGAAGAATCTGTCCGAGAGGCAAGAGTCCGCAGACCGAGACCGATGCTGCAGGATTCCGGCCGCGCTGCGGCGGATACCGTACGAACCTACCTTTACATGAGCCCAGCCTCAGCTCCGAGAAGCTTCTAGAGTAGAGCCGTACTGCAAGATTCTCACGGCAAAAGCCTCGACCAGCGCTGGCAGAGTTTTCGATGAGGAAACTTTCCTGATGTTGCCCCGACATACATAGAATTACTGTCTGGCAGGGAACTATGGAAAGCTCCGTGTCTGGGAGACTGAGAAAAGCGGCGGAATGGTAGACCGAGAAGGTTGAAAAAAACTATTTTGATTCCTCAGGCAACAGGAGGAACAGAAGAAAATGAAGGAGCTCGCAGCGAAAGCCTCGGGCAAAGGACCGCTCGCCTCCGGTGGGATAAAGAAATCCGGCAAGAAATGATCTACTCCGACCCAAGATCTGACAAGTCGACGGAACTCATCCCGAATGTCATCGCAGCCCAATAAAGAAACGCTGTATATATTGTATGCCCATTGTATTGTGCGTGTTCGAATTTTCTAATTTATCCGTGGGTTATCTCCTCTGGGAGGAGGAACGTTGGTGACTGGCATTATTTTACAAAGTAGAGCTTGCCCGCTGCGCATTCCTGATACCTATCCCTTGTCATCTCCATGGGGGCATGAGAAGGTGGACAAGAGCCAAGTTGACCTGAGGCCGCCGACTCCCAGTATCTGACTCTCCAACGATCAGGTTCCTAAAATAAAACAAGCTCCTATGACGGGGCCGTTCCCGCGCTCGTGGCTGGGGGTGTGGTGTTTGCACTCCGCTCTCCGTCAACCGGTGTGACCGCACCATCGATGTCGTCCTCGTACTCCTGGTCCTCTTCATCTTCGTTGCCACAAGCGACGACGGGATTCAGCTGCACTCCGCTCGGGACCAATTCGACGATGTCAGCGCTCTCGTAACGGAAAGTTTGCAGCCGGAATAATCCATCACGATCCCTGACATAATGGAAGCGTCGATGACCCGATGGCCACTGCAGTTCGTGTTCTGACACCAGATGTCTGTGGAGGAGAGAGAATCGTAATGCCTTGATTATTCGTGACACGATGAACCAGAGATTCACTCTCCTTGATCCTGTCCGTCCCCTCTTCGACCCTCGAGGGAGCCAAAGCTACAACGATTTCCAATGAATTGGAATGGGCAAGACGGGAGGTTTGCGTCAGAGACCGGCTCAGCGACATTGCCAAGTCCGTGCGGGGGAATTTCCCCTTTTCCATAAGTATGGCTTTCACTCACCGACTCAACAGATGGCCTTCGATGTCGAATTTGGCAGGACATAGATGACAAGCGTAGACCCTTTGACTACCATCGTGCTCAGTGAGTCTGTGTTTCCGCATTTGGTAGTGACTCTTGGTTACCAGAGTGCAGTCGGGGCATTGCATATCGACGTTGAGATGCACCCGTTCTATGTGGGTGCTGAGATTTCGCGGCAGCTTGAAACGACTCGAACACTGCTTACATGCGTAAGGCCTCTCGCTCGAGTGTCTCGTTGCGATATGGCTCTTGACGTCATTGGGACTGGGCATGGTCATGTCGCACAACGGGCATTTGAAATGAGAAATATGCCCTCGTTCGTGATCCCTCAGTAACCGATCGTTGGCGAATTTTTTGGCACAATAGCGGCATTCGCTGCTGCTTTGGGAAACCTGAATGAGAAGGGAGTCGTTAGATTTCAAGTAGATTTCACCCCACGCCGTTGTATTTCCGCAGAAATTTGCTCCACGCAGTACCTCACGCTGTCTGCGGAAATGATCGAAGAACTTGTTGCCCGATCGGAATATTGAGCCGCAATGCGAGCAGGCGGCGTCTTTGTGTGAACTATGAGACTTCACGTGATTCTTCAGCACTGTGTACGAGGACTGCCTATCACATCTGGACCAGAGGCACCTGAGAATGCAGAAGAGAGCAGACTTAAGCACGGGGAGAACAAATGGACAGTATTCAGAACGAATTCGCGGTCGACTGGGCTTTGCTCGGGTTCGAGCGGGAAACCCCTTACTTGAAAGAACTTCCGTTCGGGTCCTTGTCGCCAACGGAGTCGTGGACGTGTATGAGGAGATGGAAGTCGAAGTCGTCAGGGCCATCGAGCACATAATCACAATCCGTCCATTCGCAATCAAATGAGTCGAAGATGTCAACAGTGTGTTTTCTCTCCGAGGAGTAATAGCAGACATAACCTTCCTTGGAGCGTGCTTCGAGCTTCGCGTCGCCGGCTATCTTGAGCTTTTCATGGTAGCCATGGTACAGCACGTGGGTGAGCGTCCAGGGAGCGTTTGACAGACATTCGCGCCATCGGCAGATCGCTTGCTCATTGTTTGCGTAGTCCAGACCCGTCCAGAGATGTCTCCTGTGAACCCATATAGACATCGACCTTGATATAGATATCAATTTCATTAGTTCCTCGAAAGGAGTCGCTCATTCCCCGGGCTTTTGATGGGTTGATTTAATACGGAAAGTACCTCAGATGAGTGTAAAACTTCGCCAGATCCTCGATCGTTTCCTTGCAGTCCCCCCATCGGCATCGGAAGTCGGCCTCTACATTATTGAATATTGCCTGTATATTCGATCCGACGCGCGCCCTCTTCGCTCTCTTGTTGGCTGGAATATATTCGGAACCATTAGAGACTACGGAAGGCATCCGGTCGCATTTGGACCTGATCACGCTCTTTTTAGATAGCCCGAGTGCTCCTCGACTGCGAACAGTGACTTCGATTACTCCGTCGAATACGTCAGCCTCGTCCCTCCGGCCCGGAAGAAACACAGAGCCTGTTTCCGGTTCTCGTAGAGAAAGGATCGCAGCGCCCCAAGAACTTTCTTACTTTTAGCGCCAAAAGGATCGAGGCGAAGAGGACCCGTGGGTGTCATGCTCGAGCAGGCAACGAGTCGAAAAAGGGTCCTTGATGTATATCGAATCAAGTCATGAGGCTCTTCGTCACGAATGGATTTTATAGGGGGATCATGTCCTTATTTTCCTCCCAACAAAACTTGGAATTGAGGCTCGAGACTCACAGGCCATATCCGCATATCCGTATGACCGTCGCTCCACCCGCGATCTTCAGATCGGTCTCCCGGAAGGCTCACGAAGCTGGAAATCTCCGTCGAGAGTCGGCGCCATTCGATGCAAAATGAGCATTCCCGTGGGACTCGACCGGAGAGCAACAATACGATCCGCGAATTATTGTTGCTCCAGCCCAGCAGAAGGACCACGGAGAAGTAAACAACACGAGATTCGAACCAACGCGCCAAAAGAGCTGTCCGCTGACACGGCGGTATCTTACGAAGGACTTCCGGAGCTGCTGCTACAGCAGCACTACACAACAAGCAGCAGCAGCAGCCGTGTATTCGTAAGCTAGACATCTTTCTCTCCTCGTCGCTTCCAAAGAAAAACTTGGGATGTGTCGTGTCTGCTAGAAGCTAGAAGTCATCCATCTGTTCATCAGGTGAGTGGAGAATAGGGCCGATCGCTCCGACGTGTTCTTTTCTCTGAAAAGGATCACGAACGCTCAGAAGCTTAGCTGCTTGTCCCTTCTGGCAAAATTGCTCTCCGGGTCCTCAGCCGAGTTGAGACTTCGGAAGTCAACGCCGGGAAGGGGCCTTGCTCCGACAGCAGGAATCTCGAGCAATGAGGATCTAATAGCTTCGTGCCCCCTCTGAGGCAGACTGCATGTGAAGGAGCCGACCGTGTAGTCTACATATGATGGTCGGTTGTCGCCCAGTTCTGTGTAGCTTCAGCTGTTCGATCATGTAGGGCAGATTTGTACCACTGTATCATGACTGAGAGGCATGGAGCTCCTTCTTTTCCGGATCTCAACCGACGTTCCATCAGTTCTCTGCTGACAGCGAGTCTCAAGATTCATCCGCATATCTGTCGGACATCGGGGGACTGTCAGTCAGCGTTGCGAATCGAACGCTCCTGGCCTGCGTCAGAGCTCATGCCGTTCATGCTTATGAATGAGCTATGAATTTATCTTTGTTGATAGACTTCCTGAATGGGCTGATCAGGCGGAAATTCACATCCTCGGAACTCCGAAAATGAACACGCAGATGAATGGCCGGATTTCCGTGTGTCGGACGAGTGCTCCCGAAATTCCGAACATCCCTGATGAAGATCATTCTTCTCAGCCAATTCGAACCGAATGCCGAGTGCAATTCTCCTACGACAGCTCCCATGAGATTCCGATATGTTGGTCTCTGCGGAGCGCAACTAGTAAGTCTAATGAAGCCGATACATTCTTCTGTACGAGGGTAGCACCGAGGTCTGATCTTGTATTCAGAGGTCCTATTCCTGTATCACGTGCGGTGAAGTTTTCCGTTCACTTGCTACGACGGATTCTGGCTTTCGACATTCGAGGTCGATATTTTCCATTCGCTGCCGTCAAGCACGTCTCTGGGAGCTTTCTGGGAACCCCCTTCCTCTGAAAGGGTCCCCCGTTTTGCCTAGCCGGGGAGTAGGTATGTGAATATTTTTCCGCGCCGCCGATCGATGACTCATGCGAAAATGCGCGATTGACGCGAGTGCCACGGCAAAAATGGACACAGAAGGCGATCAACAGTCAGCCGGCGGGGAGAGCGGTTTTTCACGTCACTTAGCTACTACCATTCAGCTTCTCGATTCACGTTCTCATTCATGCGTTGAATGGGCTCGTCTCTCACGCTGTCTGCTTCCTGTGCAAGCGCTGTGAGCATCCTGTCTGCGCTGTTAGAAACAAGATTCTCCCTGGGATGCCCGTGGACGCTGGCCTCATCGGAGAGTGAAGTTGACATGACGCTACGCTAAGGATACGCGGATGCCACTTCGACCAGAATTCCGATCCGCATCTACCCCACGATGCCGCTCGACGTGTAGGTTCCCTCTAACTGTTGCAACCCGACCAGAAGGGCTAGAGTTGTTGACATTCGACAGTGGATCGAGTTTGTCAAGGATGCTGCTCATTTTCGAATTCGAAGCTCCCGAGTTTCGGTGACACGTTTCGCCGGCGGCGGACACTATAGAGGATGCATACGTATCTCCGCAATAGATCCACTGCAGCGCAGCGCGACGTGAGCGAAGGAAGAGTGGTATGTGGTCTGAACATCGCAGCTGGGGCTGATTCGCTGCGGTTTCGCTCGAAGGGAAGGAGCATGCATACATAAGTAGACCTCCCATCACAAAAGGACAACGGCGGCTCCTACAATCGTCGGATGGTCGAAAACTCGGTTGACTTCCTTCGGAAAGCGTAAGCTCTCGAGATTAAGTCAAGAATCTTCTCTCAATTTCAGTAATGACGTCAACATGAAGAAGATGGAATTGAACTCCGGGCAAGAACCGCAGGAGCCGACGGCGAGTGGCGTGAGCAAGAGGAGATCCCCCGAGGGTCGGATCCGTCGTTTACTAAAAGGCAGGGCTCATTCTTCGCACGACAGGAGTGGATCGCATGACGACGATAGTAGGACCGAGCGCTCGCGAAGCAGTGTCGACTTCAAGGGTGAGTGAGTCAAGGGCCATGTGGCTCCGGAAAGCGATCGACGCTATATAAATAAGGGTCCGAACTGAATGAATCCGTCGAAGAACGACACCCTTCGAAGTTCAACGAACGATTATCCCTAATCAGGTAACAGATCCTTGACTTCGAAGTCTACCTCGTCGCTCATGGATGCTTCACACGCCTCGGATTCCCAAGCTCCGAGTCCGTCGTCTTCGTCGAACACACAGCCTCATAAGCCGAAGAATAAGGTAAGAGGCTGAACGTCCCGCTCGGATGGAAGAAAAAATAATTTCGACTGTCCTGCCATTGATCCCTTGATGCCTCCTGCAGGTCGGCTCGTGGGCATTGAAGCTGTGCAAACGCAGTCCAACGCTCAATTCGAAAAGTACCAACTCGAGTCCCTCGAAGAACGCTCAAGCTCAATGCCAAGGAAACCAGTCGACACTGAACCCCGCCGCAGAGAAGGAAGAGGTTCTATGCGTCTGTTGCACACCAGGTACCTCTCGCGATAATCAGGCTGCGTCGACCCCCAACGCAACCAGGCGGAGAATGGCGACGGCCATCATAAATCAGCTCTCGATCGAATCAGAGGGATTGCCCGCCAACGCTGTAGACGACCTCGATGGAAGAGCGCGAGTGGAGCGCGCAAGGGAAATCGCCGAAGGTGTCGACCCGCCTCCCGGTTTCGTACGAGCTCATGAATTCATACCGGACGAGATCGCGATCGCTCTACGGAATCTCAATCTCGACGCCATTCCCTGGGACGTACTCGGCAAAATCTGGGATTTGAATCCCACGCCTCAGCAGACAGTCCACACAACTGTCGACTACATGCATTGTCTTGTCCCTGACCTATCGAACATAAGCAATCGCGGCTTCTATTGGGGTAAAATGGATCGATACGAAGCAGAAAAACTCTTGGACAAGAAACCAGAAGGCTCTTTCCTGCTCAGAGATAGTGCCCAGGAAGAATATCTCTTCTCTGTTTCTTTCCGGAGATACGGCCGGTCCCTTCACGCTCGGATAGAGCAGTGGAATCACAGGTGAGTCACGGTCAGACATGGAGGCTGGATACATGGCGTTTTCTCTCGAGTCAGCCGGCATCTGAAGTGACTTCTGAGACGAGAGCATCGCTCCAAGTAATAATAACTGTCACGGAGCTCCGCTACGTGGGTAAAATGTATTCCAATAAATAGAGCTGACGATTCCTTCCTCCCTTCCTTCTCTCCCGGTCGAGATCGCTTGCACGTACGCGCTCGTGCCGGAGAGACCACTTCGCTCTTGTAACTGACAGCGGACGGTCATCGTCTGGTCAGCTCCCCTTTGAATCGTCGGCCGTTTTCCCCGAAAAGGAGTCCTTATTCAATCAGCGTCGTCGAGCAACTTGAGAGAGTTCATAATAACATACGTATGTCTCCCGTCCAGATTCAGCTTTGACTCGCACGACCCGGGTGTCTTCAGCTCACCAACAGTGTGTGGTCTCATCGAGCATTACAAGGATCCGACGTGCTGCATGTACTACGAGCCAATGTTAACCATACCGATCAACAGGTTTGTTTCTCTAGACAAGTTCAGGAAACTTATCTGAGATGATTCATCAAAGGTTCGTCAAGATGGGATTCGGCTTAATCTTACCTTGGATTTCCCACAGGAACTTCCCATTCTCGCTTCAGCATCTCACGAGATGCGGGATCACTCAGCACGTGTCATATGATAGCGTGTCGAAACTCAACCTTCCGAAACCACTCAAAGCATTCCTCCGTGAATATCATTACAAACAACGACTGAGAGTGAGGAACATGGAGAAAGAATGAGCGCAATTCGGAGGAACGCAATGATCCCAATCTCGCGCAGTCTCCTTGGAGGAGCGCGTCATGCCCTCGACCTCGATCCGAGGCCGAATCGCGGTGCCAGCGTCCTATGCTTGCCCGGAGAGGCATCGGCTGGTGTCTGGTCCTATTTATGCCTGAATGTCTCTCTCCATATTCTCCCTCATTATATGCTCCCTCGAAACGATTGGTTTCCAGGACTTAGTCAATTCTATCACATGCCGCGCATAATTGATGCCCGGTAGTGCAAGGATGTGGTAGAACAAGCCGAGTGGCAGTACAACAAGCCCTCATAATCAATGGGTTGTATATAATAGACTACATAACACACATAATGAATTACTTCTCTAACATTTCGAGAACTTTCTCGGAAATGATGACTATATATCATGCTGTCAAGTACCCAGGTAACTTTATATCGGAGAAATTATTAGATACGGAAGGATTATTGTGATAAACGTAATGAGTCTAGGCTTTAATAAATGAATTCAACTTCTCTATAGCCCAGCATCTATTTGATAAAATCAAAATAAAGTCATACCTCCTCTGGGGGCATCGGCAGTAACTTGAGCCAGGGAGCAAAAACGGTACACCCCGAGAATTCAGAACCCCTCCTCGACGTGATCCTACACATCGCCCAGCCCTGGGTTTAGGTTCCGTTGGTCCGGCTGGATGCTCAAATGCTCGAAGCTCCTCCAAATTGAAGGAATTTAGGGGTATGAGGAGTGTTTCGACGTCGCGTGTGCGGCGGTGAGCTCGCGGAGTGTGCAAGAGACTTCGCCTGGAATGGTGATACGGGGACGGATATAGGAAGAATCAGTGCGCGAACTAGAAGTCCAGAGTAGGAACAATAACGTTGGACCCAAGGTCACCCTCGATCTGGGATCAAAGATATTCAGAAGAATTGAGGCTTCAAAAAAAACATGCGTGGAGCTCCGGAGAGGGCTCAGTGAGACCATCCTGGACCAGGCCGAGGGCAGCATCATCGGAAGGAAGACAAGTACGGACCTCAGATCCATATTGTTCGCACGCTGACCGGATCAAGGGGCAGATTAGCAAAGTGGTTTGTCTCCGATACCCCGATTCCCTTACTTGTCTCATGGTGGGGAGTCTTTAGGCGGCCCTCAGAGCTAGCCTTGACATAATCGAATTGAGTCTTGTGCATTCTTGTCATGATTTCAGACTGACCTTCTTTCCCGGTTCCAGAAATGAAAAGAGGCAGAAAAACGATTCTTATGCTCCAAAAGTGTCGAGTCAGTCCCATCATATGGCTCTCACTCTGTCCGCATTTCGTGTGTCTCCGACCGTCGGAGACATCCTCATTTCACGGGGTGCTTGACCTTCTCCCAGCGTCCGCTCCTCACTCCCTTCGTACAGTCGAATCATCGACTATCGACATGTCCATGAGCTTGTCCAGCCCAGAGTATCACGCTTGTGAGCACAGGGGGGGGGGCATCGCACGCTCACTTCTCCGTAGCTTGGAGACCCATGCGATCTTGGAAACCTCAACTGAGAAGACTGTCAGAATTTAAGCACGTCATTCTATCGGCCTTGTTCGCGACAGTGCTTATATCCGCTGACAGCGCTCTATTATTTGCTCGATGCTCGAGGGGGCTGGCGGTTCACGGAGCGAATGGTGAATGATGTCGCTATTTCCCGACGTTCACCGGGGAACGCCGCATCGTAACAACATCGTGTTCCCACTCCCCACTCGCGCGAGCTCAGATCCGGCTGCAGTCGAAATTGACGTCCCTGGATTGCGGAGAGTACGAATGTTGCCGGCGATAGCTTAAGCGTGTCAGGCGTCATTCACAGAAGAACGAAAATTCTTGAGACATTCCTTCTGAGACTTCGCTGCCCACCGATTTCCCCATTACGCCCGCTCCCTCTCGGAGCGTGCTGCTGCGGGAACTACTCTGGAAGTGCTCAGATCTGAACCTATCAGTAGGTCCAGGACCGCCCTTCCTAGTCCCCCTACCTAGTCTTGTATCGTCCATCGAAAACATCGCAAGAAACGAGGCTTCATCGAAAAGAAAATTCTGTGATCCCGCGATTCACAGCATCGATCGAGCTCTCTACGGCACGGCGCAGCGCTGGCTCTCGGCGCGGTGGGGAACTCTCTAGCGGCCAAAATACTGACCTTTGTGGTGACGCTTTCCAAAAGAGTTTCTATTCTCCTGGACCCCAAAAATTAGTGATTCCCGAAAACGAAGTCGAGGATAACGTGCGAAAAAGGAGCCCTGAAACGGGCTGACCGCCGCACCGCATCGTCCCCGTGGATCCCTCTCGCACGCTTATGGTATCCAGGATCAGGCATACACCCGGTCAGACCTGAGGATTCGATTCGAAGTCTATCCACTGCTCGTCCCGAACCCTGGAGCGTACTACAGCAGAATCGCTCGCAGTTTCGATTCCGGAATCGACCAGATGAATAGCGACTAGGCTTGGGAAGCCTCTGCGTCATGAGATGAGCACCATGCATTCTTCGAGCGTCAACTCTGTGCCTCAGGTGAGAGATTTGGCTGTTCTTCGAGCCAAATGGCGGATAGAAAGATCGGTCTCATCGGGCACCCTTCGCCTAAGATGCCGTATACGGGAACATTGCTGTATGATTGGTCCCCATCTGACATCCTGGAAAGAGAGAATCATCCTCAAAATACCGACAACGATGATTCCTGATCCCATGCTCCAAACTCGGCCCGTGCGACTGCTCAGAGGCCCGACATCTTGCACTCCTAGATGTTCACCATTCCCCTTCTTGGGGAATGAGACGCGGCGATGTTTCCGAAGTCCCGCCCAATTTCCCCCTTTCTGCTCAGGTCTTGGGCTGCCCCGAGAAGGAGAGCTCCGCCCACTTTTCGAGGTGGGAAGCTCATGGAGCTCAGACAAAGATTTTTTTGTTAGTGACGCGACACGACGGTCTTATCTGATTCCTGGCCAAAGCGTTCGGGCTCATCGTAACTGACCACTGAAATCGATACGGATGAGCAGTGCTCGCCATCTAATGTGTTCGAATCTTCCGTGTTGTCGAGAGATCTACTGAAGAGCCGATCGATCCCTCATTGAGAGTGCTGAAGTGATGTCGGTGAACAACAGCGTAGACTCTCCCGAAGTTGAAGAGGCAGTCGTGAAAGTTCTCCAAGGATTCGATTGGACGCTGGTCCCGCCAGTTGTCCCCAGACGACCCTCGTTGGCTGCTCAGAAGAAGCGATTGCATATCAAGAGGCCGATGAATGCGTTCATGGTGTGGGCTCAGGCCGCTCGACGGAAGCTCTCGGATCACCATAAGAATCTCCATAACGCTGAGCTTTCCAAAACGCTCGGCAAACTCTGGAAGTGAGTAGATTCCTTGCAAAGAGAGGAAATACTTTGATTTACATCGTAAGCTTCATGAAGATGAATCGTGTTAGTTGCGCGCCTCCAAGCGGTTCGTTCAGTGAACTCTTCGCGGATTACCCCATTAGGCAGAATGCTTTGAAACATGATACTGGCCGCTATCTGGAAGTCAAAAGAAAACTACCAAAGAGCCCCGTATCGGCCGTTCCTGGAACAGTAGCTTAACTCGGTCTTTGTCGGCCGCTTCAGAAGAGCCGATGCTCGGGCCTCTATGGTTCCGCTCGCTTCTGCCTGATCACTGATCACCGCTGCAATCGGTAGCGGTGATCTTCTGTTAGGTACTTTTCCAGCCGGGCGGCTCCTATTCGGACAGGTTACCCAGTCTACTGGATCTTCCATAATTCAGAATGCTCGCTTCTCGCTTTGCCGTTATGATGCGACCATTACGCCCACACATAACTCAGCTCGAATGCTCATGATTTTTAGGCAACTTTCGCAAGAGGAGAAACGACCTTTCATAGAAGAAGCGGATAGATTGCGGATTCTTCACAAGAAAGAGTATCCCGACTATAAATACCAACCAAGACGAAGGATACGGAAGGAAGAAGAACATACAGAGCAGCCCGCAGCTTACCAATCCCTCTCAATATCAACATTCAGGGCAGAGACTTCCCCAAAATATTTGACGGATCGCCCGTACTCACATTCTTGTGCAATGCGAGAGGATAAGTCAGTTTCTCGTTCACCGCCGACTTCACCTCACTCATCAGTCGCGACAGATTTTCTGGGACACCCGTTCCAAGAAAGTCCGTCATTGGGCAGCGGAAGGTCCGCGTCTAACCTCGGCGGCCGCGGACCGGAATCACTCGCCTATCCTCATATATATACCAATTCCAGGTCGGTACGCTCGGAGATATTCTTTGTTCTAGGTTTTATCAGGTTCTCGGGAATTTCTCTCATTCACACGATCAATTTCTGCACAGAATCGCGGAAACGGCTTTCAGCTCGTCGACTGCCATCGGCTCGGTTCAACCAGATAACCCGTTCCTACCATCGTACCAGACTAATTACCCAACCTCGTCCTCAACCTACTACGGGGATTACTTCCTACCCAACACATCGACCGCGGTTCCAGATTCCAACGTTACGAATGTCGCAGACTATCAATTCTCCTCGGTGTATTGAAGATCTCGCTTGATAGTTCGTTAGAATCTCTCGTTGTAGCTCATCAAGGGCGTAGTGAGGGAGAGGGGGCCTATCGGGCCCTCAGAAATGATTCAGCACCCCCATGTTGAAAAAGCCATGGATCGTCAAATCGATACTCCCGAATACGTTCTGACTTAACCCCTGGGACCAGCTCTGGCTACAACGCTGAAGCCAACACCGGGAAACTCGACTACCGTCCAGATATATATACAATATCTAAGTGTAGATAGATAGCATCAGAAACTGGTCTGTCTTGCGAGGAAGGTGCATCTCGATGCCCATGTAAGATTTCTCGAGTTGTACATAAATCCAAGGAGAATCTCAGTCGTCCTTCCGAATAAAGCAATCTGTACAAAAGAATGAATCAATCGTGTACGTTATTAGATCTGCGCAGCTCGACACTGGGTTGTCCAGAGAATCGCAAGTTTTTCGGAGAAATGCGCTTCCTTACTGCGACTTCCCACCCTTGCCATAGACGCTTTGTGAAACCATCTGGGTAAGTCGACCAACTGGGCAAGAAACGAGCCGGCAAAATACAACTGGGCGGGATCAATCCGAGCATACATCTACCATTGGGCAAGGCCGATAGGGCGAAATAACCGGGTACCGAGATTATTCCGTATAGAGTCCAGTTGCGACGGCTCGAAAGGGTTAGAGGTGCAAGCGTCACCCGGCGCATCGCCGACCAGAGTGCTCACGGTCAGCCAGTCAAACTTGATCGTCTCCGTAGCACAACCACCCGCGAGGGTCCTGCTCGTGCGCGTGAAGAACTTGACATGTTTGCATGCGGACCTACTCTGTTTACTCCCGAGTCTCTGTTATCCTACACTGGTTTGGAGCTTCCTGCGGTGTAAAACAAGACGATCCTCCATTCTTCTCGATTGCGAAGGGAGCGAGCATCCCACGGCAACAGATGATGAGAACTCCTCGAATTGGTTCGGATGATTCCTCCTGGCTCAATAAAGTGTTGTGTCCTTCTTTATCTCCCGTGAATTCCCCAATCTTCTCCCCTAAAGTTGCTCAATATGATTCAAATAACTAGTTCCATCATGGCGTCGAGTTCGGGAATCACGTCTCAGAGAGGGGGCTCCGGATCGGTCCATGAAGAACACCTACAAGTGAGAGGCCGTGCTTCGAAATCTGGCATACAGACGTGGCGATGCATGTACAAGACGGCTACAATACCTCGCGAAGCGAGTATCCACGCCTGGATCAGTACAGGAGAGGTGGTCGGAACTCAGGACGTGCATTCGGACCCGCCAGGACCAACAGGCGCAGAGGACGCGCAGCTCACCACCAAGACCCAGCGGCGATGCGAGCAGACCAACGAGACCCCATCTTCTTTGATCGATGCTGCAATGTCGAGTGCTACGACCCCGACAGCTACGCTGGGCCGCTTACCGCGACCTCAGTCTCTCGAATGCTCCGAGCGATACCGACTGCCGAGCTTCCTCCATAATTCCGGAGCAATATCGGATGAAAATACAGAGGGTACTTGTATGTATGGAAGCGAACCCGGAGTTTTAGAGAGCTTCTTAGTCGACAAGCTGCACGTCGACGACTCGTTCGGCCTTGCTCCACCGCTCTCCACACACGTTCCTATCGTATGATTCGCGATCAAAAATCTTTGCAGAACCGTATCGAGGCTTTCATGGCAAAGTATGATTATGTTCTTAGGTGTTCGTAGTTCTCGCTAAGCGGTAGAGGTGCGGTACGCTAGTCGCTCACGCTCTGCTCCCTGATGAAAGGGAAGGATCGTGTACCAGAATGCTGAGCCTGTTGAAGGGAGCGTTGCCCGCTATGAGTTCTTCCAGCATCGTCATGGATAACGAACGAGTCCTGAGTTATGATGAATGCCATCAGAGCTTGCCCCCCCAGAGACGTCTACAAACGGGTGTTTTTTCCACCTCGTGAAATCGTAACAATGATATAGCTTCGCGTAGCCCGAGAGGGACTTCGGGGTCGTTACACGAATGACGATGAGTTTCCGAAGAAGGCAAGGATGATAGTTGCTCTCGCCTTCGTTGCGCAGAAATCGATAACGCTGTTGCTGAACTGTAACCTGCACTGCCTGCCGAGCTGGTTCCCGTTCCAAATTATTCCGAGGATATCTACATTGGGCGTATGAGTGGAATCCGGCCGGGCCGTTCATTAATCCGGAAAGCACTGCAGTTCCCGATCGACATATGGTCGGTCTTCCACAGGACCATCGATGGGGAGGCTCGCACTAAGAATTATGCAGGAGCGGCCCATTGCCGAGCGCAGATTGAGTTCGGGGTGCAGCACCCGGCAATCTGGATGTTCGCGGAGGGACTCAGAAGAGTCCAGAATGGTCGCGATTCTCGGGTGGAAGCATCCGGAGCCAGCAATCCAGCTCTGTGAAGGGAAACTAAATAAGTGGCGGCCGATGCGAACATAATGAAGGTCGTCAAAATGCCGGAGATTTGACGCGTTAGGAGTATCTTCGAGGAGTTAATCACGACTTCTTCATGGATGCACGGTTAGTGATCATTAGGGCTGGGATTCCTATGAAACGCATATTCGCGAATTCGACCTTTTCCGAGCTTGAAACGCCAATTTCGACATCCGCATCATATTCGCGAGCACTGAACCCTTCTCTTAGCCGATGCAGCATACCTGAAACTTTTCCAGGATCCATCAATCATTCAATAGTTCGAGGAGTTTTGTCTGCGAAGAATTGCATGCAGACGATGCGCTCGCAATCAGGGGAGCGCCGAGGCTGTTCGTCGACGCGGCTGTCCAATCCGGTCTCGCGGTAAGAGCAACACATTTTTCAGAAATTCCCGACTGTATCACCGCTCTAAAAGTACACGGTCTGTCGCTCGAAAACTCGTCGAATACAGTCGGAAATCTGCGAGGAAAAGTCAGACTGCTTCCCACGGAGTTCGGTGCAACTTCCCGCGATGATTTTCCGTTTCAGTGATGATTGATACGCTCCTCCCCCTCCTCCTTTTTCAGGGTGAGATACGAAGATAGGGTCATTGGTATAATAAGTAAATTGTGGAGAATAAACTCTATGATGACACTCCATCATGTCCCAATTCCCCCTAGAGCAGACCATAAATATCGAGCTCTCTGCCTAAATGGTATTCGCCCAGATGGGTTTTGCCCAGTCGTTCTGGACCGATTATAACTCGATTCCGCTCCGGGGGAAATTACACAAACTCTCGGGCAGGGGCGCCCGCAGGGCGAGGGGGCTAGGTATGTTCCCCTCCGAGATAATTCATTCCTTATCCTCAACTATAGGAGCCAGTCGCCATATTGGACTTGGGCCCCATGCAAATATCCGGCCTGGCCCCCTCCTCCAAGAGAAGTCCCGCGGTCGCACAGTGGATCAAAATGAGTTTTTAGGTGGACAAAAGTCATCTCGAAATTTTCGTACCAACTAATAGCTCGGCATGAAAAGCGATGTCTGGAAGTCGGAAAACCATAGAGATCTCGGAATTTCCTGCTGCTGCTACGGAATACACAACTACCGAATCAGAAGTTGGAATTCGGGCATCATGTGACTCTTTTTCCTCTCATCAATGAATTTCAAGAACGAAGCCACTCCACCCTTTCCGGCGCGGATGGAGGTTTGTTCCTAGCTCAGTTCTCGTCCGGATCTTAAGTTTGAACGAGATTCAGACCGGATCAGACATGTTTGAGGTTGCTTAGAAGGATGTGATATCTCTCATGGGTTCTTCCGAATTTTGTCAAACTTCGCGATACCAAAAGTATAGTGTCCCCTCGCGGCCCTGGGAGCTGTCAAGTCTGGGACACTCATCAGACCTCCGGCAATCAGAAAAATAAATATTGTCACCCGGTTTTACCCGGTTACTGAATAATAATGTATTTTCGTCACCATGAAAATCTCCATTCACGAGTGAGAAGCATAATTCCTTGGAGACACAGAGACCATAAAACGCCGAATTCCTTTCTTGGACGCCATCTTCGGACGTTCGCGGTTTGCACGTCAATGTGCAGATAACGGCAGCACATGCGCGAACTGCAGCAACGGTATCCGCTCGTGTAAGCAAAGTTCGCATTCATACTCCTAGTGGTGCGGTAAACTCGAGAACCTCTGGAGGAAAAGTCATCGAGCGTTGACCCGGAAGTGGTCAATTTTTTCGTGTATATCCCGACTCGGAGACACTTCGCGAAGCGAAATTTCACGAAAAATAATTTTGTCCACCTAGAAACACATTTTGATCCACTGTGGGTCGCCCCGATGGTAGGTCATGCCTCGAGCCGAGGCCCATCTCATACACCACACAGGCCGTGGCGGATTCATGGAATCGCCGCCCTCGAGCTCAATCGGGAACGGCGCCCTAACGTGACCCAACTGGGAAGGAAGTGCGACGCTCCCCGGCGCTTGCGCCAGGTTTTCCAAATAAATTCGGTTCAACGAAAGGCCTCTGGGATCGGGAGACATGGACGTCGTCGATTTTCCTCATTAGGTCCTTGGATAGGGATCGAAACAGTTATTCCTGGTATTGGATTGGGTGCGATCTCAAGGATCTATTGCTCTTGGGGGTGAGATCTCGCTGTTCGTTCCTGACACGGAGTTTCCTCGTCGCCGAGTTGACGGCGCAGCGCTCCTGCACTGACGCCTTCCCTCGGTTTTTGGAAAAGCCGAGAGTTCAGAAGTCTTTACGAAAAATTCACTGCACACCGACAACAGCCGCCCCCAGAAATCCTCCGTTCCAGTCTACAGCCCAGCAAACCTGCTGGCTAAATCCGCCACAATACAGGATTGACGGGCGAGCTGCCCAAATGTTAATATTGGACCAGCATAACATGATCAACGGGGATCTTGTCGGATTCGAACGCTACCTCCATACTCTCATCTACAATAGAGCATTGACCACCGAGATTGTCGGTTCTGAGCACACGTGAGAGCCGCTCAACGATAAGCTCCGGAATCCCGGGAAAGCGAGGAAGCTCCCGGCCTGGGTTGTCCAGCGGTTCGTCTCCCA